ATTTTTGAGACAGAGAGAAACAGAGCAAGAGCAGGGGAGAGGCAGAGAGAGAGAGGGAGACACAGAATCCAAAACAGGCTCCAGACTCCTAGATGTCAGCATAGAACCCCACTGGGAGCTCAAACCCATGAACCGTGAGATCAAGACCTGAGTGAAAGTCTGAAGATTAACCAACTGAGCCACCCAGGTGCCCCCCAATATTGCAGTTTTAAATAGGACACTCAGGGTTGGTCTCACTGAGAAGACATTTAAGCGAAAGACCTAAAAGATATGAGATAGGGAGCAATGTAGTTTTCAAACCAAGGAAGAGTAAAAGCAAGGGCCCTATGGTGGGACTGTGCCTCAGATATTGAAGGAACAACAAGAAGGCCGGCCTGGATGGCATGGAATGAATAAAGGAGAGAGAGAGGCAAGAGACGATGCCAAGCCTGGAGCTGGAAGTCAGATGATATAGAGCCTTGGGGTTCACTGCAAAAAAAAATTATTTTGATTCTCAGGGAGATGAGAAGCCACTGGAAGGTTTTGGGCAGAATAATGTGGTCTAAAACATCTTAAAGTACTATCCTTTCCAGAAATATAACACTGTAGAGATAATGTAATAACAATATGTACTATTATGTGTATTATAATGATGATAGAAATAGCCAAAAATTAATATGCACAGTCACTATAGTAGGCATTTTATAAGGAGATTTTGAAATAGAATTTCAGTGATAGATATTTTTAGGCAGAAAGTGTCATCTTTATGAAAACACCTCATTTTCTCTTTCTCTGTCTACAGAAGAGACAGTCATTCAGTGCCCTGAATTTTGCTGGTGATGTAAAAATTAAACTACTCTTTCAGTCAGAAGAGGTAAAATAGGAAATAAAGAGAAAAGTTTCAGATTACATTGTTCCAGAAATAATATTCTTACTGTAAACCCATCATTAAGGGAAACCCATCATTGCTAACTCATCATAAAAAATAAAAAAAAAAAAAAAGGCTGACCAACTCTTAGGTCTTCAAAGTCATTCAGTGCTAAAGGCTCTGTCCTTTTGAATGTTAAATTCTTTCTAGGACATTGAAGAGCAATTATTTCTCTTTTCTTTCTAAATTCTCTGCTTGAATCAGATTTATATTGAGAGTGTCTGACGCTGATGGCGAATGCAAAGTCCTATGTAACTTTGCTGTTGATTCAGTAGTGCAGGCTCTATGGCAACATGCTGGACAATTCCTAGGTCTGTGTCCTACTGGCCTACTCTTTCAAATTCTCAGTCCTTTTCTTTGACATGCACCTAAGTAGATTCCTTAACATGGTATGTGTATAAGAAAATGGCAGTGTTGGGCACCATTTTGCTGCTGAAAGACCAAGGAGTTCTCTCTCTCCCTTGCAAAAATTCTCAGATGCTTATGCTGGCCTTATAAAATGCTTATCATAGTGACTGTGCATATTAATTGTTCAATATATGTTAGCTATTTCTATCATCATGTTTACGTGGGCTCATCTATTTAATTCAATTGCAACAAATACTCGAAATATCATTCTAGCTGTGATAAGAAAGAAAGGTTTAAGAAACCATTTGCCTGGCCATAGATTTGTTTTCTTGAATATGTTATTTCATGTAAGACTTATATTTTTAGTTAGGTATTATTGGCTCCATTTTGTCTAAGGAAATTGAAAGTTGGAGAATGAAGATCCTTGATGAAGTTTTTAGAACTAATAAGTGGTAAAGTCAGGAGTAAGATTTCAAATTTAGCTGACATTAAAGCTCACGTTTTATCAATACAGGTGATAACATTTTATAAAATAGAATGTAAATATCAAGCATATACTCCATTTGTGTATTCATTATTTTCTGGAACTTTAAACATAACTAAACTATTTAAATTGTGTATTCCTAGGGTGCCTAGATGGCTCAGTCGGTTAAGTGGCCGACTTCGGCTCAGGTCAAGATCTCTCGGTTTGTGAGCTCGAGCCCCGCATCGGGCTCTCTGCTGACAGCTCAGAACCTGGAGCCTGCTTTGAATTCTGTCTCCCTCTCTCTGACCCTCCCCTGCTCATGCTCTGTTTCTCTCTGTCTCAATAATACATAAAACATTAAAAAATATTTAAATTGTGTATTCCTGTGGCAAGAGATATCTTCGATCTTTTATTGAGATACCAATGTTGCCAAAACACAAAGAAGTCCCCTAAGGCAATGTCAATCACTAGAAACTCTAAGAAATCACTCAGTACCAGCTGGAATGTCATGGGCTTATGCATTGGGGTGAGCCTAGGAGAGTGGGAGTTTAGACTTCTCACGTCTTAATGCGTGTCTCCTCAAGGGCAGGATGGAGGAGGGAAGTCAAGGACAAGCACTTGGTGTTCCGCAGGAGGCCAGGTGCAAGATGAGAAGCAACAGCAGCTGAGGATCCAGGGCCTCTGAACTTGTTCTTCTTCGACCTTGACTTGCTTTTTCTATTTTCTTTTACATCCAGCATCAGCCTTCTTTCACTTTGTGTTTTCTGTTCCCTGAACTAAATAGGTAGGACTTCCTGAATCCCTTTGAGAAAAACATCACAAAAATATGAAACTTCAGTCCAAAGATACAGCTTTTGTGTTTATTTTTCCAAGATTAAAAATTAGATTTTTCTTCACTGGTAATGACAAATGACACAGATATGTGCAGATGAAGTGCAAGGGACATATACGTACACAAGTATATACCTAAAACTAAATATGTAGGAAGGTATATGCTATGAGTTAGTGTTGTTGCTTAGATTACAGTGTTTGTGTTTCTTTTTCCTTATCTGTTTTATAATGTTCTTTTCTTAAAGTGATTAGATATTGCCTTTTTAATAAAGAAAATGAACATTATAGTTAATATGCATATATGATGACTTATCAACATATTAAAAGTGGAAACTAACGAATAAATTGGAAAGACTATGTAAGGACAAATGCAGCACCAAGATGGAATTAAGGAAACTCAAAATAATGGGGGAATAGTTAAGAAAAATACAGCATGGGAGCTTCTGCAAACATACGTCCACTTTTTGGGAAAGTCTGTTCAGTGGATGGGGGTGCTGAGAAAGTACTAATGACAATCACTTAACTTGTTAGAGTAACCTAATTAAACTCTGATGGATGGGTTAACACAAGTCAAATACAAATCATATTGATATCCAAGTAAATTCACAGAACAGTATTTTCATTAAAAAAATTTTTTTTATGGCACGCTTGCGTGGCTCAGTTGGTTGAGCATCCGACTTCGGCTCAGGTTATGATTTCACAATTTGGTTTAGGAGCCAGAGTTCTGAGTTGAGCTCAGTGCTGACAGCCAGGACCTGTGTCTCCTTCTCCCTCTGCCCCTCCCCTGCTTGCACACTCTCTCTCTCAAAAATAAACAAACATTAGGAAAATACATTTTTATGAAAAATGTTTAATTGTGTGGGAAAATGTCAAATGAATAAGTCAAGATGAAAAATTGTATTTATAATAGGAATGTAAGTAAGTTTTGTAAAAAAGTAATGTAGCGTTTAAAAAAACTGGAAGGAAATTTACCAATAGTCTATCTGTGACAGCGATTGTGTAGTGGGACAATGAGTAAGTTGTTTTTCCTGCTTCTTTCTTCTGTATTTCTAAAAATTTGTAAATAAGTATATTACTTTTTGATGCGAAATAATAGTAAAGCCATAGTAACAAAAGCTTTCAAACAACTATCTTTTCCTATATCAATCAAATAGTTTGAGAAAAATCGTTCTTGTGGGATTTTTGAGTGAGAATTTAAAAAGCTTAGGCCTCCATAAAATTTTATGTTCATCAAGTTCAGTTTAATTTTTGTCTTAGTCATATAGATATTAAACAGAGAAATATAATTTAAATACATTTCATGATATTAGACAAAATATCATTGAAAAAGTATTTTAATGTTTACTTGTTTTTGAGAGAGAGAGACAGAGCATGAGCAGGGGAGGGTCAGAGAGAGAGGGAGAAACAAAATCTGAAGCAGGCTCCAGGGTCCAAGATGTCAGCACTGACCCCAATGAGGGGCTTGAACCCATGAACTGCAAGATCATGACCTGAGCCAAAGCTGGATGCTCAAACAAATGAGCCACCGAGATAATTCTCTCTCTTTTTTTTTTTTTTTTTTAAGTAATCTCTATTCCCAACATAGGACTAGAATTCAATGACCCCAAGATCAAGAGTCACATATTCTACTGACCGAGCCAGCCAGGTGTCCCTTAGGTCATAATTTTAGATTATGCTCTAAATTATTAGTCACATGATCTACTCTTGATCTCAGAGTTGTAATTCAAGCTCCACATTGGGTGTGTAGATGACATAAAAAATAAAATCTTAGAAATAAATGAACAAAGTAAAATTATTATCTAATAATATAATCCAAAAAAAGGAACACTCCTTAAATGCTATTTATTCATTCATTCAGTCATTCATTCTTTTTAAAATTTTTTAATGTTTTATTTATTTCTGAGAGAGAGAGAGGGAGGCAGCGTTAGCCGGGGAGGGTCAGAGTGAGAGACAGACACAGAATCTGAAGCAGGCTCCAGGCTCTGAACTGTCAGCACACAGCCCGACGTGGGGCTTGAACCTACGAACTGTGAGACCATGACCTGAGCTGAGCTGAAGTAGGACGCCTAACTGACTGAGCCACCCAGGTGCCCCTATCAATCATTCATTCTTAAGTGCTATTTATAACAAGTAAGGATTGGAAGAAAATACAGGGGGAATAGTTGCTGAAATTAGGATGTAAATACTTTTTATTATACAACCACTATACATGCTACTTTTGATTAATATGCAGGCAAAAGGTAAATCAGAATATGCAATATAGACAAAAGGTTATTCCTAATAATTTCATTATGTAAAAATATGCATGTATCTTGCAAATTACGGAAAGGAATATACAAAGTATTAATGCTAGAGTTAGGGAAGTGTTATAATAGATGATCCCCCCCCATTTTATATTAAAGAAAAGCTTAAAAAAACATTTTTATAAATGTAGTTTGTTTTTTAAAGGGAAAAATTATCCACAAAATTGCCAAAAAAGACATCACAGAGCAAGAGGGTCTACTTTATATGAGAACAAGTCTGGATTGAGCAGAGGTAACAAGACGCAGAGTTCAGTCTGTCTTTACCACTTAATCTCCATGTGAATGCAGGTAAGTCATTTCACCTCTCCCACCATCCCTTTCCTCGCGGGTAAAAGGAGGCTGGTGAGGGCTGGTAATTGTACCTATCTGACAGGATTATTTAATTCAGCAGCTAACATCATATGTACCAATGAATGAGGGCCTTTCTTACCAACTCTCTCACCCAATTTCTTTCACTTATTCATTTAATCATCAAAACTTCTTTAAAAAAAAAAAAAAAAGATTTATGGGGCACCTGGGTGGCTCAGTCGGTTAAGCCTTTGACTTAGACTCAGGCATGATATCACGGTTCGCGGGTCCAGCCCTGCGTCGGGCTCTGTGCTGACTGCCAGCTCAGAGCCTGGAGCCTGCTTCAGATTCTGTGTCTCCCTCTCTCTCTGACCCTCCCCTGCTCACACTGTCTCTCTCCCTCAGAAATAAATTAAAAAAATTTTTTAATTATTTAAAAAAAAAAAGATTTCATTCTTAAATAATCTGGAACTCACACCAAAATCAAGAGTCACATACTCCATCAACTGAGCCAGCCATATGACCTCACATCAAATCTTCTTTAAGTGACCAGGCAATTGGCATGATGAAGGTAGAGAAGAGTTTTTCTCTTTGATTAAGATTGATAGGTATTGGGGCGCCTGGGTGGCTCAGTCGGTTGAATGTCTGCTTTGGCTCAGGTCATGATCTCACAGTTCATGGGTTCCAGCCCTGCGTCGGGCTCTGTGCTGATGGCCCAGAGCCTGGAGCCTGCTTCGGATTCTGTGTCTCCCTCTCTCTCTCTGCTGCTCCCCTGCTCATACTCTGTCTCTCAAAGATAAAGTAAATGTTAAAAAAATTTTTTAATAAAAAAAAAGACTGATAGGTATCTATTCCTACAAGTAGGATTAACTGTGTACAAGCAAGTTCCCTGAGTAGAAACTGAGTATTGATGTCATTAATGACTTGGTATACACATAGCAGGCATCACATACATAGGCCACAGTATTCTTTGGGGCCTAAGAGCATGTTTTAATTTATTTTAAAATCAGAAGGAAAAATTACTTTCAGGTCCAAAAATATATTTTAGCACATAATATTAATATATAGTTGCCTTTATACAGCACAGTCATAAATTATAGTTTCAAAATTTGTAAGAGTACCATGAAGGTGAAAGTGCCAAGGCCATGAAGGTGATAATTCGGCTCTGCCCTCTAGATGTGGTCAGCACTTTGATAAAACACTCAAAGCTTTAAAACTCAAAAATACGGTGCTATAGAAAGCACATTGAAGTAAAAAAGAATGACATTCCAATGTGTTTGTATAGTGGTATTATCAGGAAAAGGCCAGCATGTCAGGTTGACCCAACAGACCTTAAAAGAGAGAGACACGCGTTTGAGGCACAGTAGAAAGTTACGCTCTCTGGAGGATACTCCGCAATGATTTAGTTAAATACCAACTAAGTTGCCTTCCCATTTGTGCTCGGCAAACAACCTTCTCACGTCTTTTCTTTGTGACTCCTTCATTTTGTCTGTATGTTACAATTAGTTGTCTGCGAGTCTGTTATTCCCCTTGTGACTACAAAGACCTTGAGGGGAAAGACAATGAACTGCTTATTATTTAACGGTATTAACATGCAGATAATAGGCACTTAATGTATACTTGTTGAATTGATTATTAAACAGATTAGCCAGATATCTCATCAATAGGAAAAGAGATTTGCAAATAAGACACATATATTCAGTCACTAGTGAACTATATACTTTATTTAAAATAAATGAGTTAGGATGCCTGGTTGGCTCAGTCCATGAAACATGTGACTCTTGATCTTGGGGTTGTGACTTTGAGCCTCACATTGAGTGCAGAAAACATAAAATCTTTAAAAAAAAAATATATATATATATATATATATACATACAGCATGTGAATTTGGGTAGCTTGAGCCATCCTTGGGTAAGGATGATTAGGTGATCAAGGTCCCAGATCAAAGAAGTTGAAGAAAGAACAGACTTGGACCTCCATTACCCTTGCCAAAGTATCTTTTAGCCCAAGGAGGTCCTCATTCTTCTTAATCTCCAGTTAACTTTGTCTCAAAATCGCTACTACACACCACAAGAAACCCCCATGAATGGTGTGAACACAAAAGTAAATAGCAGATAAACTGTGATATGTAAGTATGACATAATATTTAAACTTTTTAAGTATTCAAATAAAGGAAAACTAAAGCAACAATGGAAAACCATTTTTTTTTAAATGTTTTATTTATTTCTAGGAGAGAGAGAGAGAGACAGCATGAGCAGGGGAGGGTCAGAGAGAGAGGGAGACATAGAATCTGAAGCAGACTCCGGGCTCTGAGCTGGCAGTCAGCACAGAGCCCGACACGAGGCTCGAACCCACGAACCGCGAGATCATGACCTAAGCGAAAGTCGGACGCTTAACCGACTAAGCCACCCAGGCGCCCCTGGAAAACCATTTTTTAAAATGTTTATTTTGATAAGTCAGGCAGAGAAGGACAAATATCATATGTTTGCACGTATAGGAGGATTAGGAGGAACTTGACGGAGGAACAAGGGGGAGAAGAAGGGGGGAAATGGTGGGGGAAAGGGAGAGAGGCAAACCATGAGAGACTCTTGAATGCTGACAAAAACTGAGGACTGATGGATGTGGGGGGGAGGGGGGGACGGGCATGGAGGAAGACACTTGTGGGGATGAGCACTGAGTGTTATGTGGAAACTAATTTGACAATAAACTATTTGTAAAAAAAAAAACAAAAAAAAAACCCGTTTATTTTGAAAGATTGAAAGAGAGAGAGAACATGTAAACAGGTGAGGGGCAGAGAGACAGGGAGGGAGAGCAAGAATCCCAAGTAGGCCCTGAGCTATCAGAGCCCCACACAGGGCCTGAACTCATGAAAGGTTAAGAACATGACCTGAGCTGAAATCAATTTAGAGACTAAACTGACTAAGCCACCCAGGTGCCCCAACAAAGGAAAATCTTTTACTTTTTTTTTCCTTCAAAAATTGGCAATTAAAAAATTACTATTTGGGGTACCTGGCTAGCTCAGTTAGTAGAGCATGCAACTCTTGATCTCAGGGTTGTAAGTTTGAGCCCCATGTTACGTGTAGAGATTACTTATAAAACAAAAATAATAGAATCTTTAAAAAATTTACCACTCAGGGGTGCCTGAATGGCTCAGTCTGTTGGGTGGCTGACTTTGGCTCAGGTCATGATCTCACGGTTCATGGGGCCGAGCCCCGCATCAGGCTCTGTGCTGACAGCTAGCTCAGAGCCTGGAGCCTGCATCAGATTCTGTATCTCCCTCTCTCTCTTACCCTCCCCTTCTCTCTCTCTCTCAAAAATAAATAAAATGTTTAAAAAAATTTTTTTTTTTTAATTTACCACTCAGTGCTGACAAGAGTCCAAAGAGAAAAAGTGATCATATGTTGCTGATAGGTATATACTTGGTATTTTCAAGAGAGCTACTTAACAATTTCTTGAAGAGCTTTCAAGAAATTTTGGTCCTTTGATCTAAAAACTGTTTCCAGGATTCTTTCTCTCAAAGAAAATAAGTCAGATATGTGGGAACGGTTAAGAAAATTTCAGTATATTCATAAGATGAAGTAAGATGTAGCCATTAAAGGGGTGCCTGGGTCAGTTAAGTGTCCGAATTCAGCTCAGGTCATGATCTCACAGTCAGTGGGTTCGAGCCCTGCATAGGACTCTGTGCTGACAGCTCAGAGCCTGGAGCCTGTTTCAGATTCTGTGTCTCCCTCTCTCTGTGACCCTCCCCTGCTCATGCTGTCTCTCTCTCTCAGAAACAAATAAAACATTAAAAAATTTTTTAATAAAAAAAAGACGTAGCCATTAAAGATAATTCTTTTGAAAGACTTTACATGATACGTCAAAGGAATTGTATTGAGAGGTGCCTGGGTGGCTCAGTCGGTTAAGCATCTGACTCCAGCTCAGGTCATGATCTCACAGTCCATGGGTTCGAACCCCGTGTTGGGTTCTGTGCTGACAGCTCACAGCCTGCAGCCTGCTTCAGATTCTTTGTCTCCCTCTCTCTCGGCCCCTCCCCATCTCACATTCTGTCTCTCTCTCAAAATAAAATAAAGATATATAGGGGCACCTGGGTGGCTCAGTTGGTTAAGCGTAGGACTTCGGCTCAGATCATGATCTCATGGTTCATGGGTTCCAGCCCTGTGTCAGGCTCTGTGCTGACAGCTGGCTTGGAGCCTGGAGCCTGTTTTGGATTCTGTGTCTCCCTCTCTCTCTGACCCTCCCATGTTCATGCTGTCTCTCTCTCTCTCTCAGAAATAAACAAAACATTAAAAAAAAAAACATAAAAAATTATTCTTCAAAGGAACTATATTGAGAGAAAAAACATTGGGTTCAAAACTCTGTATAGAGTATGACCCCAGTTGTGTTACATTATATGTATTCCAGATAATACATACATTTGATATCAAATAACAGGAAGAAACCTTGTTTAATATGTTCATATTATAATAAAATAATATTTGAAGGAATAATATATGTTTAAATTTCAAGATTTTAACACCTTGATGGTGATTTTAATTTTTTCTTTATATTTTCTTCTTTCTCTCAGAATATCTTGAATCAATATTAGTTGTATTTTTTCTTAAGATTATTTTACTTATTTTGAGAGAGAGTGAGAGCACAGGAGGGGCAGAAAAAAAGGGAGAGACAGAGAATCCCAAGCAGCCCCCTCAATGTTAGCACAGAGCCCACTGCCCGGCTGGAATTCACGAATCCTGAGGTCATGACCTGAGCCTAAATCAAGAGTTGGACACTTAACCAACTGAGCCACTCAGGCACCCCAATATTAGTTTTATAATCAGGAAAAAACGTTATTGAAAAATATGCTTCTAAAATCTGCTAGGCTGAAAGGTTTTCTTTCCCTTGCCTTTCCAGCATCCAGCACATTTATTGGCATTCCGTCCGCTTTCAGAAATACTGGATAAATAAATCTATAAGAGAATGAACAGGGGCGCCTGGGTGGCTCAGTCGGTTAAGCATCC